CCATGTTGAGATGGTGAGATCCTGGTGCGGGTGCTGCATACGTCACCACGCTTGCAAGGGCTGCAGCTGCGAGATCCATCCGTACAGTGCTATATCAAGTCAACTACCCAGGAAATCTCGTGCATGCCCCCAAAGCCCGGACTTTCTAAGCAGCAATCGGGTATCCCCTGGCTAATTGTGACGAGGCACTTTTTTCTTGGTTCTGACCTTGACCGCGGTTTTTACCATGGCGCCGGAATCTCTCACGAAGGCGCGAACCTATGGTTAGTAGTACTGGAACAGAAATGAATCCAAACCAGTGAGGTTTCCCTTTCCACGGTTTGATCACGCCCCTCCCCCTCCCCAATCGCGAGTAGGATTAATACGCCTGGCAGGACGGAATTCCGCGACCCTGAGCAGGCGCTGCATAGCGCCTTTCCCAAGGAAGGTGCCCTTATAAGGGCCCTATCAAGCCACAACATTCCGACCCAAACGCCCGCCCGCCCACAAATGGACGACCGTTCCTGACGCTCTAATCGATTCATTTGCTAAGCAAATTATGAAGCGAAGGGATTGGTATGAAGCGGCCGTGATGCTGCATGGATATATGAGTACACATATGCAGCCGTACCTTCGGTAGCGGTTATTGGCAAGATGCCTACAGGAAACTCGTCCAAAATTTTTTAACACATTGAGAACGGAGGCTCTTTCTTCGCAGGATTTTGACCGTTTCACTCCGTTCTTTCGCCATTTACCCCACTACACAGCGCCCTACTGGCATTTTTACGACACACCACAAATCATCGTGCCAACTGCTTTTAAGGATAAAGAACATATACGCCGAGAGAAATACTTTGCTGAATAGACTCAGTATTTGCGCTGGCAATTCCATGTATTCAGGATTATGTTCGTGACTGACTGGTCGTCGACAGCATTCATAGCCGCTGCCACAATGGATGGCTCCTCATTCAAGAAGATCATCACCGAACGGATAACTTGGCCGAATGCTGTAACCGTCGATATTTATGCTGATAAAATATATTGGGCTGACGCCTACAATGACGTTATAGAGTAAGCTTCTCCTTTTAACATTGCTACTCTTGTCTGTTATTTGAGGGGCAACAAAGAATTTCCTTTGAGCTAGCCAGTGCACTGTCTGCGGCGCAGCCATTCCTGTTTTGCAGGGTAGCCGCGCTGGATGGGTCTGGTCGTCGTACCATCATATCCGACTCTGGTACCGTACCTCATGTCTTCGCCCTTTCTATAGCCGATGATCTACTTTACTGGAGTGACTGGACATACAGGTCGCTATTTTTCTTGTTCATCTGTTTTCGTACTTGAGTAGTCAGCGAGAGAGTCTTTGAGAAAACTATTCCCTTCAGGGGTCTACTACGAGCAGACAAGCTAACCGGAGACAATGTTACGGTCGTAGCTCAAACGGCTTTGCTACCTTACGGACTGAAGATCTTCCATCCTTCTGTGCAGCCACACTGTAAGTTATTGATTTGTAGTTACAACTTACTTAGCGAATAACCTCTTTACGTAGGAGCCGATTTTCTCTGTTTACTATCAAAACTAACTGAAAACATGAAACATTTTTTGGAAGTTCAGACCGAGCTCAAAGGCACATTGCGGGTTAGCCGGGTGGGCGGAGACTTCCTATCAATGCGCTCTCCTCATCTTTACGCTCCCTCACCCTATTCCAATACAGTGGAGAGAACGGCCGAGCCAATGAAAAGGGCGTAATAGTCATGAGGGTCCGTTTACCACGACGTCAAGCCGATATCGCTGAAAGGTGCCTGAACAGCCAGCAACAGCTTTATCAATGGAAATACACTCCATATCTCAGATGGAGTGGGTTGGTTGGGGGGGGGGTGCCGGGGCGTAGCTGCGTACTCCACATATGCGCTCGTCGGCTGCGTCTGTGGCGGAATATTTTTGTTTTGGGACATTGTAATTATGTTTTTTTCCTACATAAGATAGGACAGGTGATGTCTCTAATAGGGATTTCCTACGAAAAAACGCATCCTCTGCCGTGTTTAAACCAAGAGCACAGCCATGCGCACCCCGTCTTCAGGATAGAGTGAAACGCACGAAAAACTCTTTTCCCAGGCCAACAGCAGCTCACTTCTGAAAGTAGAGATGGTGAGAAAGGGCGTAGTGCGTCTACATTGACCCTCCCCGCGTTTAGAACTTTTTGGGGTTCGGTGGCTTGTTTCCGAGATATGAGT